TTTTGTTGATTTTATATCTAACTTTATATTCTGGCTTTATAGCCTTCAGGCAGATAAGCCTTCAGTAGAAATATTTACATAATGACATTTTAGTGTTTTTTTTTTCTTTATTTCATTCATTTGCTTTCCAAAACTAATCAATTACCTTACCAATGCTAAGGCCTGAAGGCATGTTTGCTTGGGATCAGTTACAGTCCCCAATGAAAGGTGAAGAAGAATGTTTATTTCACCTTTAAAAGGTGAAGAAACACAATTTGGTATCCATTTCATGCAGAAAATTCAGAGTTTCTAATGCTTAGCAGAGGTAACAAATTTTGCAATGTTTATTTGGCTCCTAGACAAAAAAAAAGTATCAGCCATTTTTTTTTTCACTTGTAATGGTAGTGGCTTGATATTTTAAAAAGTGGAATTAGAAAGACAATAGAGGGCACTGGAGAACTATGTTCTAATTTGGGAAATTATGAGTTATTTTTCATTCTTGAATAAGGCCACTTTCTAATTGTGATTGACTCCTGAGGGCCAGTAAAATCTAATATTCTGAGAGAGCTAGTTACATTCATTTAGTTCCTTTGGGGCCATAAAGTTTTATGACTGTTGGATGAAAGGTTCTGACATAGGTAATTGACAAGAGAAATGGACAAAAGTCCCAAGGAGAAAGGATCAAAAGATCAAAAGGACAGAAAGAATCTTTAGAACAAAACAGAAAGACACATAAAAAAAAAAATGTTATCTTTACTTAAAGATAGCATCAGGGAATGCAAGTCATACACACAAGGAGATAACCACACCTATGTGAGATACATGAAAATGGCTCATATCAAAAAGACCAGACACAACAAAATGTTGGTGAGGATGTAGAGAAGTAAACCTGTGTAAGGTTTCCTTTTTATACTGTAAGTGGGGATTTTGACTCTTGGAGGGAAAACATTATAGAGGTTTCTTCAAAAAGTAAATGGATATACCATAAGCCCTAGCATTTCCACTTCTAGGTATTTACCTGAAGAATACATAACACTAATTTGAGGGGATATATGTATGTGTGTATATATATATATATATATACATATATATATGATAATGGAAATATATATACTCCTATGATCATTGCAGCACTATTTACAATTGACAAATTGGCAAACTATGGAACAAGCTTATTGGCCCAAAACTGATAAGTGAATTAAGAATCTATGGTATACATACACATGGCAATACTTCTCATATATAAAAATAGAAAAACTCTTGCCATTTGTGGCAAAAGGGATGGAACTGGAGGGTATTAATCTTGTGAAATAAGGCAGAAAGGGAAAGACAAATCACAAATTGTGGCATTTATATAATATATAGAAAAAAAAGGTCAGAAAAAGCCAAACCAACAACAAACTTTAGAATTGAGGCTAACAGAGTGGGAGGGGGAAAGGAAGCGCAGGGAACAAAGTAGGGAGGAAGCCCAACAGACTGTGGTGGAGAAACTTGGGTGCACTGTGGTGTTCTGGTATGGAGGTGGGGATCCTATATTTCTAAATCAAAACAACACTGTACACAAAAAGTTATCTCAATCAAAAAATAATAAAATTATAAAATGGAAGCTCCCTGTAGGAATAAATCTTTTCTATCACATTTATGTTATATCCCAAAAATGAGCATAGCATGTCACAGATGAAGATACTCAGTAAAACCTATAAAGTAAATAACTATGTAAACAGGTGGCTTAAAGAAAGAGGATTTTGCTGTTTTGTATCCTGGATTTGGGGATGGTAAAGTAAAATGTAGGTGAAATTAGACATTAAACAACTTGATTTGCTCTTGTGTCTTGTGCCTTACTTATTTGATATAGTACTACAAATTCAGTTCTGAAACTAACCTGTCTGAGACCATTAGAGAGAAACAGTGATCAGATAATGACTGCTACTGACTCTGCCAACACACAGTAAGAAATAGCTTATTTCTAAGGCATGTTACTATAAATGTAAGGATTCATTAATATTTCAAACTCTTGTAAAGAGCCCTGAAAAGGACAGAAATCAGTCCATGAAAAAACAAAACAACATATAATGAAATGATTAAGGTTTAACAGCTATCAAAAGGCTTAATGACTAGAAAAAGACCCCAGAACTGAATAGTTAGAAAATAGAGAGTGATTATTGTTGCAAAAAAACAGAGTACTATGCTATATTGAAAGCACTCATAACACATAAGCAACATATTTATCAGTTGGTAATTTTGTGCTATACATCTACATACGTACTTATTAACAGAGAACATGTTCTCTAGACTGAGTTAGGAGACTCAGCAACAAAACTATAATTGACTTAATGTGGCATTGCCAAAAATAGACCCATCAAAATAGTCTATCTTTTACCTGGAAGTAAAGATGGGCCAAAAACTACATGACATATACTTCAGCAACATCTTTGAAGATGCGGCACCCAATGCAACTATAGTGAAGGCAAGGATAAATACCTGGGATTAGCTCAAGTTATAAAGCTTTTGTACAGTAAAAGAGGTATTACAAAAAAACAGACATCCCACTGAATGGGAAAATTTTTTCTTACACAAAACTAGCAATAAAGGATTGATCACAAAGATATACAAAGAACTAATGAAACGCAACAAAAATAAACAACCCTATCAAAAAATGGGCACAAGAGCTAAAGAGACACTTCTCCAAAGAGGAAATGCAGATGGCCAACAAGCATATGAAAAAATGTTCAACATCACTTGTAATAAGGGAGATGCAAATTAAAACCACAATGAGATACCACTTCACCCCAGTGAGAATGACACATCTTAAAACAACTAGTAACAAAAATGTTGGCGAGGATGTGGAGAAAAAGGAACTCTCTTGCACTGTTGGTGGGAATGCAAACTAGTACCACCACTATGGAAAATTGTTTGGAGGTTCCTCAAACTGATAAACATGGAGCTTCCATATGACCCAGCAATACTACTGCTAGGTATCTACCCAAAAGACACAAAAACACTGATACAAAAAGATACCTACACCCCCATGTTTATTGCTGCTTTATTTATAATTGGAAAGACATGGAAACAGCCCAAATGCCCAGAATAGATGACTATATTAAAAAGATGTAGTACATATACACAAAGGAATATTTCTCAGAAACTTTTTTGCAGCAACATGGATGGAGCTGAAAAAGATCATGTTTAGTGAAATGAGCCAGAAAGAAAAGGAAAAATACCGAGTGGTTTCACTCATAGCAGGAGTATAATGACCAGGTGAGAAAATAATAATAATAATGAACAGCTATAAAACAGAAACATTTTATGGGGGTGGAGTGGGGATCAGGATCAAAAGCAGTGGGGGGAGGGAAATGCACTGGACTATGGTGATGGCACATGGGTGATCTGGTGAGGGGAAGCCCACAGGGGAAACAACTGAGATGAAAAAAATGCACAAAATGATGTAAAAGTAAACTATTATATTATTTTTAAAAAGTCCATTTTTAGTAAAGAGCTGTATTTTATAAACCTAAGGCACTCAACTGAAATTTGTAGAAAATTTCTAAGTATCATTTGTAGATAAAAGCATAATTAAATATTTATGAATTGCTAGTTTTCTATAAATATAGCCATTTGAAGATGATCTCACTAGTCATTAAAATTTGAACAGAGATCAAAGCTAGAAAAATATTAACAATTCTTTGAATGTGTATAGTGTTTTACATAAAACTATAAATAATAGATGACATTTATTGAGCACTTGTAAAGTGTCAGGCTTTCTACATGTAAATCCTCACAACCAATTCAGTTCAGTTCAATAAGCATTCACTAAACACGTACTGGGTGATAAATTAATAATAATTTATTTCTGTCTTTTGTTTTTCTGCATTTAAAAACATTTTGGTGTGTTCAAAGTTTGCCGAATGAATAAATGAGTACATGAATGAATAAATTAACTGTGAATGACAGTGTAGAGTAGTAAGTAATCACACATGTTCATCTTCTTACTATCTGTGATCTTGAGAAAGTACTTAACTTCTAGCTCTACAAACACACACAAACATATATATTTATAATATATACTTTATATATATCGTATATTTATTATATATACTTATATATGGATATGTGTGTGTGTATGTTGAAGAATAACCTGCTACTAGAACAAGTCTATTTCACTGTTCTGTGCGTTTTATTACAATTCTATACAGCTTTCATTACTATAGCTTTGCAGTATAGTTTGAAGCCAGGAAAATGATACTTTCATTTTTGTTCTTTTTTTCCTCAGAATTGCTTTGGCTATTTAAAGTCTTTTGTAGTGCCATATAATTTATATATGTTTTGCTCAATTTCTATGAAGAATGACAGTGGGTTTTGATAGGGGTTGCATTAACTTGTATGTTGTTTTATGTAAATTAGCCACCATTTCTTCATGCACAATGTAAGTATATTTAAATTACCCATTGCAAAAGTGCTGTGAAAACAATAGCAACAAATATAAAAATCTGACACAGAATGGACTCTCAATAAATGAAAAGAATTATCATCATCATCATCACTATTATTAAGCAATCCTATCCAATTCTCATCATCTTCATTATGACAATGGGACAAACAGAACTTTAATATCCACAAACAGTTGCAAAATCTATGCAAAAACAACATACACAACAAGAAAAGAAAGGGAAATGTACTGAACTCTAGTTTCCAAGGTCCTCCTAGGTTACCACACATCATCTACGTTCTAAAAAGAAAAAGTCAAATTTAACTATGCTTTCAAGGATACCATGATAAGAGGTAAGTAGGACAGAAAGTTTACCAAACAACAGACTGCACTTTCCTCCTAATGCTGGTCATTCCAACCATGTTCTCAATCCCAACATTTGCAACAGTATCAGAGGCCCAGAGAATAACCATCCACAAATTAATTCATGTTCTTCTTAATGCCAGTGAGGCTAAGCCCTAGACATTCAGTTGATGAACTGGAGCCCTGGATCAAATTATCTAACGAAAGAGAGTTTCATCTGTTAATCACTTACCATTTTGGTCTGCTGGTAGATTTCACCATAGGGGCCATCCCATCTCTATAAAGACTCTTAGTTTTGCTGAAGTTAACAATGTTGAAGATGACTCTCTATAAAAGAAAGAATTTTATCAGAAACTTCACTGTGCAAGTTGCCACTTCTTTATAATTAAAACTGGAATTAATAAATAGGGTTAAAAGAAGCCATGTGGATTAGCTACAACAGTCTAATGAGGAAAATAGTACTACAGAAATTCACTGTGTTTGTGCCAGCTTAACAAAGTCATTAAGAGCACAAACCCATAAGTTTGAACTTTAACTCTGCTATACCACTCTCAAGCTGAGTGACTTTACCAAGCTATTAAATCTTCCTGTGTTTCAGTTTTCTCATTTGAAAATAGGAACAATAACAGTACCTAGAAATATTGATAAGAATACTTAATAAATCTAGAGTGTTTGGACCCAACAGCTAAATGTAGATGGCTTTTGTTGTTACTAACTATGCCCTCTCTTTAGGCTGACCTAGAATTTATATAAACATGAGTAATGTTATTTCAGTAAATTTTACAATTGTTGTAGTGCATCTCAAGTTTAACAAAACTAAAGAAAATAACAGCACAAAACTGAAGTGAAAAAATTCTGCAACTGCTTGGTACCCCTTGGATTAGAACTGAAGGGTACATGCCTCTACTATAAGTCAGTAGTACTGGGCCCAACTCTAATCTCAGCATCAATTTATAGGGGCATAGCTGCTTGGGTAAAGTCCCTTTCCCTGTTCAGTCTCACCCTTAAAATGAGAGAGTAGGGAGTTGTACATGACTAAAGTCTTTTCATATATAGAGAGAGTACTACAGTAGTATAGCTAACAGAGATCAGGGTTCTGTTGAAGAAACAGCTTTCTCATAAGTGAAGAAGAAAGATTGAGAAAGAGAAGAGAACAGGGTTAAAAAACACGAAATGACTACGGAAACAGTGCCGAGTGAAAGAATTTAATCACTTTTAGAATTTGAAATATTCTCGTACAACTAAGGTCATTAATATTTTCATTTTACATATGTGGAAAATGAACATCAGATAGCTCAACTAACTTTTCAAAGGCATGCGACGAATAGATGGAGAGTAGATGTTTGAATATATGGAATAAAAATTAAAGATGTCTATGGTCTCCATTTTGGCCTAAGGCTCCAAAATTCTATAAGTCTAACCAAGTCTGTTTTCTAAAACAAAGACAAAAATGAATATGATGGTAATTTTTCTAGATTTTATAATTTTGCTTTCTTAAAATGGGAAATCAAACTACATCTAGCCTCATAATGGGAAAAAGCACAATACACTTTTTTCTATGAAATAAACACTCATTAACATATTTTTTCTCACCAGAATTGCAGCTATTCACCCCATCTCCAGTCACTTCAGTTTCAAAAATCCCTTCTATCATTATATTAAGTCATCAAGAATGTCCAAGTCTGTTCCATTATTAATAACCTGGACCTTCCTGTTGTCAGTTCAATTACTTCTTGTAGGTTCCTTGCTACTATTTGATTTAAGAAAATCAATATCAAGGGGACAAATGGCTTTTGATCCTCACAGGGCTTAATCCCCTCTTTTTCTTCTGAGATTCTAGGTGTCAGTACATTTTCAATGAATTTGGAAGCCAAACTGCACTTTCAGTATCCAGATTAATCCTAAATACTGGGGGAAATCTCATACAGAAATAATATGTATATGTGAGATTCAAATAAAGAAATGCAAAATTAAAACAGTTATTGATCATTAATAGTCTATGAAGTGTCAGAAAAATATGCTATGTTTAGAATCACCTGGACACCTTTAAAAATCACTGATGTTTGGGCTTCACCATAATCAGACTTTGATATCTAATATATTATTTCATTTGTTTTGAGGATAATGAGCTTTTGCAGACAGCTCTTATTACCTCTTATTCATATATAATGCAAGTGATAATAAAATTAAATAAGATAAAATCACATGAGTAATAAATAGTAGAGGCTTAATTTGAACCAAGTCTGTTGAAACAAGACAGTAAGATGATAGACTTTCTAGACAAACACACAGCTGGAGCTAAAATCTGCCCCCATCAGTTCTATAAACTCAAGCTAAACAATCACACTGTTATGGTATTGTTTACATACAAAACTGGGATAATAATGGCATATGCTAGTGAAGATATAAAAATCTGGGAAATCTTGCATGTAAATCGACTGACACATTATACCTAGCTCAGAATAGGAATTCAACATTTATTGATGCTTTCCTTCTATCTCAACAAAACCAGATCATTTAATTCATCATAGTCTCTTTTTTCTTCCTCCTTTATTATTTTTTTTATTATTATTTCTTCTTTAGATTTAAAATTTCACTACAGGATTTTGTTTTAGCAACATGGTACTCTAGGTAAGAGCTTTCAAAACAGTGATCTTCAGCATATTAGTAGGTTGAAGTAGGTTAAAGATACCAAGATAGTATGTATGATAATCTGGACCAATGGGCTCAGAGCTCTATAAAGGAGGCACAACATCCATTCCAGATGCTGGCCAAGGAGTGGTCCAGTTTGGCTGAAGGGTATGTGAGAATTTACATGTGCTCTCAAGTAGTGGCCTCCATTCATCACACATATCCAAAACCTGTCCAATCCTAGGTCCAACAGACTATTCTAAATGACAGGAATTGTTCTAAATTAAGTATGGACATTATGAAAACTAGAAGGCATCATTAATTTAACATATTTTATTATCTTGAAACAATTTATTAAAAGTTCAATTAGATTTTAAAATCATTTTTATTTTCATGAGAAATTTTAACATTTTGTAAAATTTATGAGTAAAAAGGAAGGGAAAGTTCTTAGATGCTTTAAATATAATTTTATAGGGTTAAATATATGAAATGTTTTGAATTTTAAAATCATTTTATTGTGTGAGCAGTTTCTTAATGATGGCTGACTACTAAGACATTGAAAAGTTTGGGTCAGGAATTGCATATATCCTATATAGATATCTCATACAGAAATGGTATGTCCCTGGATACGAACTCAAAAGTTTCTATTAAAAATTTGAAGACTTAAGTGTCAGCCCAGCCCCTGGTCCCACACCTGAAAAAGATATTTTGTATTTGATACTGTCTGTACAGTCTATACCTTGTTAATTATAACTTATTTTAAACCATATTTCATACGTTCATCCTGTACGTGTTCTCCAGTATTTCAATATTCAGCATAGATATCAACTCCAACTTGTGCTTAAATATTTTCTCTATTTGCTCCATCATGAAAATATTTGGAGAATACTGCCTTGGATAATCTTTTGTGAACACTTAAGTACTACAGGACACTTAAGAACATTCTTACATGAAGAATTCCTAATAAAGAGAAATACATATAGGGGTACCCAGGCAGATTATCTGTTATCTAAGAATTTAAAGATCTATGCAAAAATAGTAAATGAGTCCTTTAATATGCATGAGGCAGGAGATGCTTTGATATAGCTAGGACCCTCAAAATGATGTATTGCTAGTGAAACTGTGGTCTAGAAAGAAATTATTCACTTGTGAAGTACACCTATCTAATCCTAAGTTTCGAGTGGGGAAAAAACTAAATGTGGCAGAAATATTTGAGGTTTGAATTTATTCTACTAGTTCTCTCTTAAGAACTCAAATTAAGTATTTAAAATGATAACAAGAAAAGGAACCTATATATTATATTTATTGAGATCAAAAGAAAGCACAATCTAAAGGATAATAAGATGTTGACATCTGTTTCATCTTAGTGGTGTATATTTGATTGCTTCTTTTTTAATTTTAATTTTATTTGAAGATTTTCCCTAATTTAAAAGTTTACTTTTACTTCATTAGGAATTTCAGTATACTATATGAGGAAGTGACATATTTTTCAAATTGTTAAAAGGTTTTTCTAACTTCATATTGGATAAGTTCTTCCTTTCTTTTCTAATTTCAAATGCCACCATTTCCATAAAAATTATTTGTATATGCCCTGGGTTTATTTCTGGACTTCCATTTCTGTTTTACTAATCTGTTTATTCTAATGACAGCCAGTCATTGTCTTGATAATTATAGCTTTCTGATAAGAGTTAGCTTTCATTAGAGCAAATTTCTAGTCAATGTTTTCCTTTTACCATTTCATATGACTTCAAACCAGTGACTTATTTTTGTTGTTGTTGTTGCATTTTTTTGTTACTTTCATGATTATTTTGTTTATGCTCCCTCACAATTAATAAAAAGTTATATTTTATAATTCCTTGAAATCTTTTTAATACTTTTCTTTCTTTAGTAATTTACAAGACATTCATCCTAGTTCTACTTTGCTAGTAGATATATTTAAATTTAAAAATGAATTTGACTCAAGTTAGCCATAAATGGCTTGTATAAATGTTTTTAGTAACTCCTTTTGAGACAACCACTTCACTTATTACTGGCCTATTCTGATATTCAGAGAGGTACATAACATAACAAAGTTGCTTTGAGTATGTCTAATTACATGTTCCAGGTGTATGTTGCTACCCCATATCAGGTTAGTGTGATTTGGGCATAATACAGAAATTTAGGTGAATTTGCCTTGGCTTCATGGCATATCAAAAGTTATGTAGGTAACAGGAGCTGAGTGGAACATAAATTATAGGTTTCTGTTTGTTCAGTCAATCAGATAATTTCCTTCAGAGCCAAATTCCATGTCTTATTTGCCTACTCTAAGCTCAATATGATTCCCAGCAATGTGAACTGAAAAACTAGTGCTTCAAACCTGCTTCTCTGTGGAACTTAACCACACTTTATCATCTTTCTGAGTCTTGCCTAATTTATCTGTAAAAAGTAAAATTAGATATATGGTAGAGTTTTGTTAGATAAATATAATTGTCAAGAAAACTTCCCTGGGCAATAATACGAGATTATATATGCTTATGTATGTGCACATTTCTGTATGTATAAGCCTCCTGTCCATGAAGAGATAGTCAAGAAATACTTTATAGAATACATGTTAGAAGATACTTCTCCCTCACTGAAAGCTTAAGGAGAAGGAAACCAGAGGTAGAAGGGAATGGAGAAAAATGTTTTTTTTATTAAAGGAAGTTTAGCATATCAAA